TGGGTGTGTGGACTGCCACATCTGATCTAGAATTTTGTTACTGTGGATTCTAAATGACAAGGGATCATTACACAGAGCTCTGTTTTCTTTTTCCATTTACTCCACAAGTATGTTTTGCAAACTACCTCTGGACTCTCAGTCTGTATTTTTGTATGTTATTAAGTGAGGATTGGCAGTTAGAACACAGGGCTCTAGAGAAATGGATTAATCATCAAGAGCAGAATAAGATGCGTCCAAATATTTGTTGGTGTCTCTGTGGCTCAAAATAAGGGCTATAAATTGGGAACCCAAAACAAACCACTGCCATCGAGTCAATTCCAATTCATAGTGATCCACAGGGTTTCCGAGGCTGTAAATCTTTACGGAAGTAGATTGCCTCATCTTCTGCAGAGCAACTGGTGGGTTTGAACTGCCAGCCTTCTGGTTAGCAGCCAGATGCCTTAACCACTTCACCACCAGAGCTCCTTATGAATTGGAAAAATCATTTAATATTCCCTTTAGAGTGTCACAGGGAGCTCGGGTGGTGCAGTGCCTACAGCATCTGACTGCTAACCAGAAGGTTGGTGGTTCAAACCCACCAGCCTCTCTGTGGAAGGCAGGTGAGGCAATCTATGTCTGTGAAGATTTACCACCTTGGGAACCCAGTGGGGGTTGCTTTGAATGAGAATCCACTCCACATCAGTGGGGTTTTAGAGTGTCACCAGGTGCTACCAGCAGTACGCTCTGGATGACAAGGAGCCCGCAGCTGCCACACAGACTGCATTACATCTACTTCCATTGATGCTTTGGGTTTTTCAAGCATGGATTTTTTTCCCCAGTTCTTTTCTCAGTCAAGCACACTTTAGCAGAAGAATGTGAGGAGGAAAACCTAGTGTAACCTTGCACTTACAGATACAAATATGAACTTTGATTGTGTAATGGTTAAAGCATTCAACTGCTAACCAAAAGGTTGGCAGTTCAAACCCAATTGCTGTTCTGTGGAAGAAAGAGGAGGCAGTTTGCTTCCATAAAGATTTGCAGTCTTAATGATGGGTTTCTCCTCATCCAGAGCAAAGAAGAATGAAGAAAACCAAAGATACGTGGAAACAATTAGTCCAAGCAACTGGTATGCCATGAGATCCTCAGCCTATATGACGATGAGACCAGAAGAACTAGGCGGTGCCTGGCTACCACTGTCAACCACTTGGAGCAGGATCTATGTAGGAGATCCTGGATAGAGTGGGAGAACAATGTGGAACAAAACTCAAAATCATTAAAAAAAAAAAAAAAAAAGGCCCTTTTTTTTTTTTTTTTTTAATTAGGATTTGGGTGAAGATTTACAGAGTAAATTCACTTTTCATACAGCAGTTCACATATACTTTGTCTCATGTCATTGACCAAAATTTACAATGCAGGAGCTCCCCTCCCACTTCCTCCCCATAGTTACCTCCTCCCAGTGTCCATCCCTTCATACTCTTCTGCACCCTGAGCTATCTCCCTGTGCATAAGCAGCCCTTCCTTCTCCCATGATGTTCAGACTCCAGGGCGTGTGTCTACTTGAGGTAAATGTTTAACTCACATGCCTGTACTTTGTTTGGCTGGAAACCACAGTTGTGGGTTCAATTCCAGACCTGAAGGGCAGCTCAGGGCCATAGTCTCAGTGGTTACACCAGGCTCTATTGGACCAGCAAACCTGGTCCCCACCTTCTTCTTCTTTTTTTTTTTTTTTTTTTTTTGCCTCCAAATGATTTTGAGTTTTGTACCACATTGTTCTCCCTCTTTATGCAGGATCTCCTACATCCCTTCCAAGTGGATGGCAGTGGTAGCTGGGCACCATCTAGTTCTTCTGGTCTCATAGTTGTATAGGTTGCAGATCGGATGGTGTACCAGTCGCTAGGACTGATTGTTTCCATTAATTTTAGTTTTCTTTCTTCTTGACGAGGAGAGACCTGCTGTTGCATCTAGATGGCAGCTTCCTAGCTTTTAAGGTCCCAGTCGCTACTCGCCAAAGTAGTAGGTGGAACAATGTTTTGTATAGTATGTTATGCCAATTGAGCTTGATGTCCCCTGCGACTATGGTCCCAAGCCTGCAGGATCAACTACTCGGTCCCTCTGGGTAGCTGGCTGTGACCAAGTAATGACCATAACCTTGCCCCTTGTCAGCTCTACTATACACCTGGGAATTCTGATCATTCACATGAACTTATAGGCCCATTGTCTGCCAACCCTATATATGATCTTGGATACACTCTCCATTTAGACATACCTAATTGTTTAGCTTGTTCACTCATCTATCCGTCCCTATACCCGTGTTTGCTTTCACTGACAACTCAGTACTGTATATGCAAAGGGGTTCATATTTGTTGTCTGTACTGCCCATGTAACTCTCTATGTCTTTCTCATCCTCAATGCTGCCATATTGGTCACTCACATTTGGTACATTGCCCTTCTCTTCACCCAAATCAATATTTATCTCTATCTATCTAACAGCATTCCCTCCCCTCCCCTCCCACCCCTGGTAACCAACAAAGAAAATGTCCTCCAATATATAAACCTTTCCTTAACTTTTACAATAACGGACTAATACAATATTTGTCCTTTTGTGACTGACTTATTTCGCTCAGCATAATGTCCTCCAAGTTCATCCACGTTATGCGGTGTTTTGCAGATTCTACATTATTCTTTAGCATTGCATAGTATAAAAGGACCAGTTTTGCTGGTCTGATAGAGCCTGGTGGAACCCCTGAGACTGTGGCCCCTAGCTGCCCTTCAGGTCAGGAATTGAACCCACTCCTGTGGCTTCCCGCCAAACAAAACACAGGCATATGAGTTAAACATTTACATTACATAGATAAACTCCTTGGAGAGATCAGTCATGGGAGAATAGAAGGGCTGTGTATGCACAGGGAGACAGCTCAGGGGGGTGGGAGTGCATGGGAGGGAAGGACGCAGGGAAGAGGTAACTGTGGGGAGGAAGTGGAAAGGGCTGTTGCTTTGTGGGAAATTGCAGTCAGTGTCATGAGACAGTGAATGTGAGCTGCTGTGTGGAAAGTGAATTTGCTCTGTAAACTTTCACCCAAATCACAATAAAAATTAAAAAAATGAAAACAAAGATTTCCAGTCTTGGAAGCCCTATGGGGCAGTTGTATTCTGTCCTGTAGGGTTGCTATAAGTCGGAATCAACTCAGTGGTAGTGGGTGGGTATATTCTATTCATCTCTTACGTATCATCCAAAATTCATAGTTAGACTAAAATATCCATCTATTTTAATGTCAAATTAACTATGTCTTTTTATTAAAGCTCTTCCCCGGAAATAAGATAATATCTTCTTTCTTACACATACCAAACCAAACTCACAGCCATCAAGTTGATTCTGATTCATAGTGACCCCCATTGGGTTTCCAAGGTGGTAAATCTTTACAGAGGTAGATTGCCTTATCTTCCTTCCGTGGAGTGACTGGTGGGTTTGAACCGCCAGCCTTCGGGTTAGCAGTCAAATGCTTTGGGTACTGTGCCACCAGAACTCCTTCTTCTTATACACACACATTTATATTGTCTCTTCCTAAGCATGATGTTGTTTTTGTTGTTGTTATGTGCTGTTGAGTCGGACCCGAGTCATAGTGATTCCTCCTTGGGTTTCTGAGGCAGTATCACTACGAAAGTAGATTGCCCCATCTTCCTTCCAAGGAGTGGCTGGTGGGTTTGAACTGCCAGCCTTCTTGTTAGCAGTCAAATGCCTTAGCCACTGTGCTACCAGAGCTCCCTCCTAAGCATCATATAGAGAGTAAAATAAATGAACTTGGTGTTCTTCACTAATGAGCCTCCCACCCAGCATACTTCAATATCTTGTGCTTCTATTGGCAAGTGGCTGCTTGTTAATCTGTATTATTTATTACCCTGGTGTCTGGAAGACCCTCCTAACGGCTTAAATTGCAGCTAAGGAATAGCTAGATAGGCTCTGGCAAAATAGGAACATTATAGGAGGCTGTGCCTGTTCAATGTAGTGATGTGTATGGGATCAAAAGATTTCTTCTGTAAGTGGCCAAGCAGTGAGCACGTTAGGCTTTGTGGGCCGAGAACAGTGAGAATACCATACTTCCTGTCTATTGCAAGTGCCCGACTGCCACTGCCACACAGAAGCAACCACGGATGCTGCGTAACAAGCAAACAGGGCTGTGTGCTAAGAAAACTTCATTTATAGGCACTGAATGTCATGTGCTTTTCACATGTCATGAAATATTATCTTCCTCTTGATATTCTTTCAACTGTTTAAAATATAAAAATCATTCTTAACTCACGGACCACGCAAAAACAGGTGGTGAGCAGCCGACCCTGGTCTAATACTAGGAAGGCTTAGAACTTGGGGGAAATGGTGACACACGTCAGTTTTTCTTTATAGAAAGAGGTGCCATCAAGCTGTGCCCGTCAGGAATGCTACACAAGTTTAATTAGAAACTGGATGATATCCAAATGCCGGGCGTTGTTTTATTGTTGCTCACTGAAGATGCAGCACTTTCAGATTAGCTTATGCTGTGGTTGTAAAAATACATACGTGAACTCTGGAGCTCTTTTCCCTCAGTGTGGAAAACTGAGGGTATCACAGGAAGAAGAGAGACATACCTAAATATGTCCTTGCTTCCTATTGGCTTATTCCTTACTGTCCTGGTATCTTTTTCTTTGTAGTCTATTGTTTTAGACATGGCAGAGAGAGGAAGTGAAATTCGCAGCATATAGGCAGCAGTGCCTGTGATTTCTTAGGGTTATTGAAGGGTGGGTGCCTCACAAATGAAGTTAAGACCCTGCTTATTTCCGAAGTGTGGCTCATGATGTGCTCTCCTCGGGAAGGCAGTGCATTCAAATCTTAGGAACTGAGAAGAGTTCCACTGAAAAATAGTAAAATTGATCCTTTCTCATTCTCTTGATTAATTTGAAAACAGTGTTACCCTCAAATTTAAAATGCATTGATGTGTTTTAAGGTTGCCATTGACCTGTCCTTTGCTTACTCTGCTTAAAAATTTTAGGTGGAGAAACCATGTGGCGGTGGTCAAGATTTACTTCTTTATCCAGCTAAGAGAACAGAGCTTTTGAGAAGTGAAGTGGACGACAAGAAGGCACCTCCATCCTCGCCACCTGCTCCAAAGCAGATGCCAGTGTTAGCAGAACGCCCGGCGGCCACGCCAGGAGACTTTAAAGAGAAAGTCGCAGAGCTGCTGGAGAAATACACAAGTGGGCTTTGGGCCAGCGCACTCCCCAAAGCGTTTGAGGACACATACAAAGTGAAGTTCCCTGAGGATGCCTTGAAAAATCTTGCCTCGCTGTCTGATGTATGCACCATAGACTACATCTCTGGCAACCCTCAGAAGGCCATTCTCTACGCTAAACTCCCCCTGCCCGCTGACAAAGCCCTCAGTGATGCCGTGCAGGCCCAGGGGGACTACGATATCAAGTGTATGGTTGAGCAGGAGTATTTGCAGATAGAGGAAAACATGGCTGAAAGTGCTGACGTCATCATGGAGGATGTAACCGTCCCTCTTTTAGTTGTTCCGACCGAGGCTTCCCCATCTGTACTGGTGGTTGAACTGAGCAACACAAACGAAGTGGTTATCAGGCAAGTTCTGTTTTCTAATTCTTTAGGACTCTGGTGCATAGATGTCACTTCACTGTTGTCATTGTGAGTGCCGGGAGCTGACAGATACGTTCTTAGTTCCTCAGATTGGTTATAGTCAAATATGAGATACATATTCTCAGTATTTACTAAGTGTTCAAAGGTACAACTGTTCTTGGGAGAAAAGTGTTTACTGACATTTTTGAAAATTGGAATGATGAAAGGGTGTGGACTTGGAAACAATCTGTGTCAAAAAGCATGATGCTAATGATACAGAATCACTTAACATACGTTTCTCGTTCACGATCCGTTCTGTGAAATAGGACCTTATGATTCAGACGTTGCGTGAACACCACGTTATATACTAGCCTGTCTTTAATTTGAATTTATACATAAGTCGCAACAGTTAAATATAGTTCATTTCTAACATCAGTTAGGGAGGTGTTTGTCTTAGTGTAGAGAGTACTGTTATGTATGAAAAACATTAAACGCTTCTAGATACATTGAAGCATTTTAATGTACTAATAGAAAAATAATAATAATGATAATGTCTTGATGTGTGTTACCAAGCAGCACCCATTTGTTGTTAGAGCTGTTGTATGGACCTTGAATTTTTAATAGCTTTATGGGAGTTGGTACTGCAGACGTATATGTGGTTGAATGTTGCCCGAACAGACATCTTGTGGAACATAAGTATATATACAGCAAAAGCAGATATCCGGTCTATAGATAAAGCAGGTCCCTGACACACTAGATAATACTATTTAATCTGTTTAACGTTTCCTAGAAGTCAGCATAGCAAAGTACTGCCTTCCTAGTATATACATGAGATTAGTCCTTGGACCCAGAGGTGGTCTGGTTACTGAGTCTTTGATTTCGTTTCCCGAGAGGAGGAGTCATTGCTGAAGTGGCTAATGATAACTGGGATTACCGAAGACAGTTCAGCTACAGGTGCTTGATGTGGGCTTTTGAAAAAAAATAGGAAGTATGTCTAAATGACTGTCATTTGCAATTTCCCACTCAGAAAAAGAATGGGAACCTGTGGAGTTGTGTCTCTGGAAGCACCTCCCCAGGGTGTGGCTGCAACTGGACAGTCTGTCAAAGGCTGAAGCAGGACCCAATGCAGGTTCCTTCAACCAAAACATCCCTATTATCTGGGGTGTCTCCCCTCCGAGACTCATAGCTGAGCTGGGCGTGCCCAAAAAAGACCACAAAAAACACTCAGAAGTCTTCACAGAAAGGATAGATCAAAAGTGTTAATGCTTGTCCATTTGAGTGGATAATGGAGTGAACACAGTATCTTGGAACTGGAACTAGAAGAACGTATGGAGGTTTTAGAGAGAGGGCTTGTTTTTTATGTAGGTAGTAAATGTCTGAAGCTTTTCTCCTGTGATGTGGTCTGGTCTGAAGATAGAAAGGTGGCTGAACCTTAGGAGTCCTGTCTTCAATACCTAGTGCTGCCAGAACAGAAATACCACAAGCGGAGGCTTTAACAAACAGGTTCATTATCTCTCAGGTCAGGACGCTGGAAGTCCAAATTCAGGGTACCAGATCTAGGGGAAGGCTTTTTTTCTGTCAGCTGTGGGAGAAGGTCCTTGTCACTTTTCAACATCTGTGGGCCTGGCATCCCTTGGAGATCTTCATGTGTCTTGGCATCAGTTTTCCCTCTGGTCTAGGAGGTTCTCAGCACAGGGACCCTGGATCCAAAGGACACACTCTGCTCCTGGCTCTTCTTTTGTGGTATTTCTGAGTTCATTCCTGAGTTCATTCCTCTGTTCACTTCCCTCTGCTTTAATCTCTTGTTAAGATAAAAGGTGATGCAGGCCACACCCCGAAAACTCCCCTTACATTGGATCAGGGTGTGACCTGAATAAGGGTGTTGCGCCACACCCTGATCACCTTACAACTGTGATTGGCTGATCACATGAGATCACATTATGGGTGATGATTATATCAGTATATAACAGCCAGATTACATTGTTACATAATTGCCAAACCACTGAGAATTGTTGGCCCAGCCAAGCTGACATGTATTTTTGGGGGGCACAATTCAATCCATGACATTCTATCCTTTGGCCCCTAAAAATCCATGTCCTTGCAACATGCAAAACATATTCACCCCATCATATCATCTGAAAAGTCTTAAACTCCAAGTCCAAATTCCATCCTGGGGCAAAATTCCTCTTCATCTGTGAAATCTAAAATGTGAGTTTTCTTCTTTCAAAGTACCATGGTGGAACAGGTACAAGGCAGACATTTCCATCACAAATGGAAGAAATTGAGGGAAAGAAGGGATAACGTGCCTCAGACAAGTCTCAAAGCCAGCAGAGCGATTGATATTAGCTCTCAAGGCTTGAAAATAATCCTCTGTTCTCTGAGACCATCCAGGCAGTGCCCTGCTCTCCAGCCCCTGGGTGTTGGCCACGCTCTCTGGATCCTGGGTGGAGGCCCCTCAGCCCTGGGCCTTAGCTCTGTCTTCTAGGCCCACTGGGACAGCAACTCTGCTCCCTTACCTTCGGGTGGTCCGTTCTCCTAGTCCCACTGAGTGGCTTCCCCAGGCCGTCAGCCCCAGCAGACCTGTTCTTCTGGCCCTTGGGCTCAGCATCACCACATCGTCAGCTCTGGGCAGTGCATCTGGACCCATCCCCTGGCGTCTGCCAAGAGCCGCTCCACATTCTGAACTGAGTTGGTGAAGATCTGATTTTGAAGCCTAGGAGGCCCTGACTCCCACCCTTTGAGACCCAGCAGGCCAGTTTCCACCTTTTCAGGCCCTGGAGGTTGTGGCCCTGTCTTCTGAGATGGCAGCACTGCTTCCTGTCCCTTGTCTCTTCAGCTTCTGCTACCTGGTTTCTTGGCCCCTCAGCCCGTAGGGCCTCCTGGGCAACCTGGCCTGTACCCTGCTCCAGCAGGTGTTACAAAGCTCTTTAGCTCTACTGATAAGTGCGTGGAGGTACCCTACTCCATCAGGAAGCCTCCTGCCTGACCACTCAGCTGTCTTTCTGCATCCCAGGCCATCCCTTGCCTGTTTCCTCTGCACCACCTGGGTGTTACAGCTCTTTCCACTTCCTTGTGAACTCTCACCAGAATTGATTTTGATGTCTATAATTCCTCCAATAGTTCCTTCAAGGCAATCAAGGCTTTTACTGTTAGGCAACTGGAAACTCTTCCAGCCTCTACTCATTACCCAATTCCAAAACTGCATCCACATTTTAGGTATCTGTCAGAGCAACACCCTACTCCCAGCACCAACTTCTGTCTTGATTCTCTAGTGCTAATATAACAAATCCCACAAGTGGATGGCTTTAACAAACAAAGTTACTGACTTACCGTTTAGGAGTCTACAGTCAGGGTGCCAGCCCTAAGAAAAGAGCTTCTTCTCTCTGTTGGCTCTGGGGGAGGTCCTCACCTCCTTTCAACATCTGTGGGCCAGGTGTTCTGGGAGACTGCCATGTGTCTTGGCATCAGTGTTCTCTGGGTCTAGGAGGTTCCCAGCACAGGGACCCTGGGTCCAAAGGGCACACTCTGCTCTTTCTTAGTGGTACTGAAGCCCCCTCCTTCTCTGCTCATCTCTGTCTCTTTTGATCTCTTCTAAGATAAAAGGTGATGCAGACCACAGTCCAGGGAAACTCCTCTTATGTTGGATCAGGGCTGTGACTGGAGTAAGGATGTTGCACCTCACCCTAATCCCCTTATAGCTGATTGGCTGATCACAGCCAATCACATCACAGAGGATGATTACACCAGTATATAACTGCCAAACCACTGGGAATGATGTCCTAGCCTAGTTGACATATTTTTTGGGAAGACACGATTCAGTCCATGATAGGTCCCATTCTGGTTCACTAATACATTGTAGTAAGGGAAGGGTGTTGAGAGGCACATTACTAGCTTTTACCATGGGACATTATAACAACAACAACAAAAAAAAAACCAACTCAATGCCGTCGAGTCGAGTCTGACTCATAGGGACCCTTCCTTGGGTTTCCAAGGCGGTATCACTATGGAAGCAGATTGCCTAATCTTCCTTCTGAGGGGTGGCTGGGGGTTTGAACTGCCAGCCTTCTGGTTAGCAGTCAGATGGCTCAGGCACTACGCCACAGTCTACCCCCTCAGCAGTGTTCTTCGGTATCCATTGCCATTGTCAGAGACCAAGCACTGGGCTGGATTGGTCATGGGATTTCTGATGTTCTTACCAAGGGCTGGCAGGAATCTGGACCAGTTCTAGGACTTCAGTGGGGGATCCAGTCTATTCCTGGGTAATAAGATCCCAAAACCCATTGTTGGAGAGTCTATTTGACTCATAGCAACTCTATAGAGCAGAATAGAACCGCCCTGTTGGGTTTCTAAGGCTGTAGTCTTTACAGAAGCAGACTGTCGCATCTTTCTCCCGTGGAGTGGCTGGTGGGTTCAGACTGCGACCACTTAACCTCTCCACCACCAGGGCTCAGTAAAGTCCTGACTCTTGAGATATTTAGAGTCCTTTTTCCAGTGTGAATTTGAATCTACAGTCAGCATTCAACATGATCAACAGGGTAGCTGGCAGCCAGCGAGCATGGTGGCTAATGCCTGCTGCTAGGTTGGCCCCAGGTGGCTCTTCCTCCAAAGACTTGGCAGCTCCCCCGTGACTGCTCCTACACGTTCACCCAGGCAGGCCGTGTGGTCTGGACGCTGTGCTGTGGCTGCAGATGAAGGACCATGAAGGGACCTGAGAGGTGTTGTGGCTGCACCTGCAGCTCTGGTCTCGAAAACTAACTTCGTAAAACTTTGGAGCATTGCTGGGTAGCCCACACATTCTCTGCCCCCAGCTCAGATAATCTAGGGACAGCGTATGACCTCATTCTTGCCACTTGCCACTGTTGTCACACCAACTATGGTGTCCTCCTGCCCACCCCCACCCAAGCTGAGTAGCCCTCCTTCTCTGCTTGTTGCTGTGGGGACCAGAAGCTGCCTGCTGACCCCAGGCTGCTCCTCACCCGCTCCTCCCTGGCCGGAGCCCGTGCTAGGCCAACTGCCAGATGTCGGCTGCAGCCCAGCCTCCTCCAGCTGAGCTCCCAGGGCTGTGGCAGCACTTGCGAGAGAATGTGCAGGCAGGTCCCAGGAGATGGGCACTTGGGCAGAGTTGCAGGCCTCCTAGGAGACTTCAGAGCCAAGAGTCCGGCTGCACCCCAAGCAGGGCCTTAACATTGTAAGGGCCCTTGCGTTAAAGCGTAGCATATGATGGGCTCTCCAGCTGTTTCTGGAGTGAATTGCAGTTGGTTTTCAAATAGTCAGAGGCGTTCTATCCTTTTGTGAAGGACTTTTTAAAGCGATTTATTTTTGAGTAACAAGTAGAATTGCTTGACTGTGGCATCTTTTGGCCTGCTGGTAGTTACCAAGATTACAAGAAAATACTCTTAAATAGTTTCTCAAAGCTGTGTAGGACCACTTGGGGTCCCAGGTAAAAACCAGAGCAAAGCCAAACCCAGTGCTATGCCCCCCTCCTCTGTCTCCCTATGCAGTGATCTGGTGCTGTCACAGGTACGGCCGAAGCAGCCCCAAGCTTGATCTGCAGTCTTATATCCGGGAGGGAGGCACTTGATGGGATTGTCTCTGAGGATCAAAGGGCAGGGAACCAGCAGCCTGTTATGGTGGAAAGTGTGGGCTGGAACCAGGTGACTGCAGTTGTCAGTTGTAGAACGTTTCGGGAGGCAGTAGGGTGGGGCTGAAAACCATTTCTCAGAAAGCAGGTGCAGCGTCAGAGGCATCAGACTAGAATGTCAGTGACGTCTTCTACGGGTGTCAGAACCTGACATTCTGTTGTAAGTTGTCGACCTTTGTACCGTAAGTTAGGGGAGTTGGCCGCGGCTGGCTTGCGTGTGTTTAAAGGCTCTGTTTGTCTCTAGAGGAATCTCATTACTTTTGAGCCTTCTGCATATGCAGCCTTAGGACCAAACTATCTCTCGATTCTCTTCTCAGTGGTCTCCGAGATTCCCAGCAGCCTCAGCCAGAAACCTGAGTCCGAGCCTCTCCGGCCCCTCCTGCTGCTTCCTTGTCTGCCATCATCCTTTTGCCCTTGAGCCTCAGCCTGCTACTCCCCAAAGACTGTCTTCCATGACTGCTCTGTCACACCCTCTGGTTGTTGGTTTCACTGTGGGACATTTGCTCTGTGGCGTCGTGTGTGGGACCTCAGTCTTGTTTTACTTACTTGATCGAGATATAAATGTTACTGAATATGTATATTCCTCCCATTATGTAAGCGAGTCTTTGGCCGAAGACGGTGGTAGGGAAAATGAAGTTGCATCAACGAATGCCTGTAGTCTTCCCCTATGGGTTCTTTCATTTGTGTTCTCTTCCCTGAACAATTCAGGTATGTGGGTGAAGATTACTCTGCCGCCCAGGAGCTGATGGAAGAGGAAATGAAGGAGTACTACAGTAAGAGCCCTAAGGGGGCCCCTGTCCAGGTCGTGCACGTGGGGCAGTTGCTGGCGGTAAATGCCGAGGAGGATGCTTGGTTGCGTGCACAGATCGTCTCAGCAGAAGACAACAAGATCAAGGCAAGCACTGCTTCCTCCATCACGGCCTGAGCCAGGCCAGTGCCATACGGTGTTTGAAATGCAAACGATGCTTCTAACTCCTCATTTCTCCACAAGTAGAAAAGATAATAGTTGTGTGAGATGGAAGGAGCTCTGGTGGTGCAGTGGTTAAGGCGTTTGGCTGCTAATCAAAGGGTCGGTGATTTGAGCCCATCAGCCTCTCTACAGAAGAAAGACCAGGCGGTCTGCTTCCGTAAAGATTGACAGCCTTGGAAACCCAATGGAGTTGCTGTGAGTTGGAATTGACTCAATGGCAGTGAGCTTTTTTTTTTTTTTTTTTTAATAAGATGATGGGCCCTATCAGCTTTTAACTCGGTGATAGTCAGTCATATCATCCCAGAGTTTTAGGGGGAAAAGAATTCTTCTCCGTAGGAGTTCCTGTACGCCCCAATCTAAACAGGATCAGGCAGTTCTTCCCTTTCCTGGTGGGTACAAAATACTGCCCAGAGCTCCATGGGCTTCTCACCACGGTCAGTGCTTCGGGGCAAGGGACGCAGTGTGGACCAGAGACGACGTTTGCTCTTCTGAGGCCAGCTGAGGAGAGACCTGAATAAGACTTGGGACTTTCTCTAGAGCTGCTGTCGGATGTTGCCCTCTCAGCCCTCTTCAAAAGGTCAGAGGGCTTTTTTGGCTTTGTCTCCCCTCAGCCGACTCTCAGGCTTCCGTACTTGACCATGTCCAGCCACTGCCTCTGCAAGGCCTCTTTCTCCAGTACAGAGAGTGAGAACCAGAGCTCTTGGTGGCCAGGCAAGTCTCCTGAGGTCAGTGGGCCTGAGGGTTTTGGGGTCCCCACATGACACTCAGAGGAGGTTCACCCAGGCTCTGTCTGCTCTTTAATGTATCTCTTCTTCCTTTCTTGGTGAAAGCTGTGTGTTTATTTGGAATTTTTGTTTTTTGAATAATGAGCTTGCCTTCTGAATCTTTCCTGTTAACTCTTTCATGGCAGAGGGGTGGCTGCTATATGGAGAATTTTGCCTGAGAAGGTGTCTTGACGAAGTTGTCTGCCCTCCCTCAAAGGAAAATGTGTACCCGAGTTTATCTCATTTCCACCCCTCTTGATGGGAAAAGCACTGTACTTTTCCTTTCTCACTGTTCTAGGGCAGAAGACGAGACAGACAGGTCCTTGTTCTCAAGACTCTTACATGCTAGTGGGAGGAGACAGATTATCGACAAGTGTGACATAACCAGGGCAACGTGATGGGAAACACCTTGAAGGAAGGAGTGGGCAGGGCAGTGTCGTGTCCACAGTCTAGCAGCTGTGTGGCGAATGGGCCATAGTGGGGTGAAGAAGGGAAGTATGCCAGCTACCTCGCAGCCTGAATTAGGGTGCCAGTGGTGGAGATGGGGCTAGTGGGAGCAGACTCAGGATATGCATTGGATGGGGGGCGGTAAGCAAAAGAGACGACTTGAAGTGGCCGCTGGAGGTGGGCTTGAGCCGTGGGCTGTTGGGATTAGGAAATTGAGAACAGGTATGGGAGAGAATCAGGAATTTTGTAGGACCCATTAGGTTTGAGAACACTGCATACTGGTTCAGTGTGGATGAATTGGAGCTCAGGGAAAAGCCAGGACTGCAGATACATCAGGCCGACAGGATCAGCATACAGGTGCTATTTAAAATCATTGGACTAGAGAAGTTCATCTTGGAAAAGAGTACAGATGGAGAAGAGGTCCCATAAGAGGAGCAAAGAAGACTGCAGGAATGGCCAAAGAAGAAGGAAAGCCAAGTGGGTGGTGTCGTGGAAGCTAGAAAAAGGACGTGTTTCGCTCACACAAGGGGACAGGTGGCTCTGTCACTGTTGCTGAAAGCTGCACAGTGGTTATCACCAATTCAAAGATGGCTCAGCGCCCTGTACCTTACTAAGCTTGTAAGACAGCGGTAGCTGTCTTAGTTCTGGCTTTGAACTTGAAATAACCCATGAAGCTGACAGATTGCCTTTGTTTGGAGAAACCCCAGCCTCTTAGCAGTGGTCACGTTTCTCTAGTGCTTTCTACTTGTCAGATCCTCGGCAAGTACGAGAGACTGGAAACGGTCCCTCACGAGCATGTGGTCACTCCCCCCATACTGTTAACTTGACCCAGACCTGTATCCCAGGCATGTCGACTGGGTATTACTCAGATGGTGCTGTGAGACCTCTGGCCACTCGATGGCGCCAGAGAGCCAGGAATGGACTGGGGCCGGCTGCCAGCACTGTAAGCCAGCTTCTTATGATCCCAGGGCCTTAGTGAGAGAAGTGTACTGAGTCCTCACAGAGCCTAGGACACATGGCAAGGTGATGAGAGTCAAACATGTGCAAGCGTTTTAGCTACCTAACACGTATGTGAGGAGCTCTGGTAGCATAGCACCTAAGGCACTTGACTGCTAACCAGAAGGCTGGTGGTCCAAATCCACCAGCCACTCCTTGGAAGGAAGGTTGGGCAATCTACTTCCGTAGTGATACTGCCTCGGAAACCCAAGGAGGGGTAGCTATGAGTCGGGGCCGACTCGATGGCACGTAACAACAACACGTATGTGATGTAGTGATGAAGAGGAAGGAAAGGAAGGAGAAGGGGGGGCTACAGAAAGAAGCTGCAAACGTGGCAGAGCCTTGGGGATCTGGGAGCAGGTTTCTTTGGTCTTTGTGTGCTGAGGATACATTCTGAGTTCTCACAGTCATGATTCCGCATATCACATCCTTTATCAGAGCACGGATCTCTACTCTGTGTTTGGGAAGAGTGGAATCCAAGTTGTAGGTGGGGGCAGCATTCAGGGAAACAGAAGCCTCCCGAAGCCTGAGGCTGTAAGAACAGGTGCTGATTTGGGATGGAGAGATGGGCCTGTGTCATCTAAATGGCTGGCTGCCGGGCGTGAGGACCCTGTCAGGGATCCGGCCCTATGGAAGCATTGAGTCGCCATGTGGACAGAAGGGAAGGTCTTTGCTGATACAGGTTTACGGCCTCACAGACCCTCTTGTCAAAGGAGCCTTCTTTCTAGACTAACACTCCACTCACAAAGGCAGTTGGTGGCCTCGCTGGCTCTCCTTGTATCCTTATTTTCTGCACAATGGGTTGTGTTCAGCTTGTTTAGTGCCACACCCTTGGTACTAGGAGCTGCCCGTCAACTTTACTTTCATGTAGAAGGTGGAAGAGGACCTGCCTCTGTGTCACTTGATACCTGTTAGTCACGTCTCACCCTGTACATCGGGAACCCTCTGTGTCACTTGATACCTGTTAGTCACGTCTCACCCTGTACATTGGGAACCCACTGGTGGCGGTGGTTCTTAAATAACTGTCATCTGCTTCAATTAGAGACATGCGCCAGGCCTTCACCCTCCCCTACAGATTCCTAGTCATCATTGTAAACCCACAGCTTAATGTTTCTAGATTTTACTTTTTACACGTAGCCCGTTTCAACAGAAGGACTTGCAAATACTCTAAAAATAAAATCCAGACTCACGGATCTGTGCTGATGGCGAGGAGGAGTCACACAGGTTTCTGCAAACCCAGAGCTCTGTCCAGCACGTTAGGTCCTTTTGCTGAGCTGGATGAAGGCCTAGCCTGGCTTCTCTACCACCACCACCCCCTCATAGAAGCACCTGCTTCTGCAGGGAAGAGCTCCATGTTGTCCATCATGGATGACATCCATGTCAGGGAAGAGTTGCATGTCGTCCACCATGACATCAGTATTAGGGAAGAGTTCCACGCTGTCCACTATGACATCAACATCAGAGAAGAGTTCCATGTTGTCCACCATGAATGACATCAACATCAGAGAAGAGTTCCATGCTGTCCACCATGAATGACATCAGTGTCAGGGAAGAGTTCCATGTTGTCCACCATGAATGACATCAGTGTCGGGGAAGAGTTCCATGTTGTCCACCATGAATGACATCATCGTCGGGGAAGAGTTCCATGTTGTCCACCATGAATGACATCAGTGTCAGGGAAGAGTTTCATGTTGTCCACCATGAATGACATCATCGTCGGGGAAGAGCTCTGTGTTGTCCACCATGACATCAGTGTCATCATCAGCAGGAAGTGTCTTGGCCTCATGAAGCACACATGGTGCTTGGGAGATTCAGAATCTGATAAACACACAGGGTGATGCCTCTTCTAGAAACGAATACTGCTGCCTGACCAAGGATGGTTGGAGACGGGAAGCCAAGGAAGAATAAAGTGGTGTGGGCATGACACTGATGGAGGTGAGGCGGTCAGGGCTGGCAGAGCCAGACAGGTGTGCTGATGAGAAACTGGCATTCACAAGGCATCAGTTAAGTGCAGTCTGACTCTGTCAGAGGGTACCCAGGGCAAGAGGGTACAGGAGAGGAGTGGGCCCCAGAAGTCAGGGGTCCTGGTTTCCTTGGACCCAGCCCCAGTCTGTCTTTTCTGAGGTAATCTAGGCGTCACCTCTCTGGGAATTTTCCAGGCAGCTTAGTGTGTGTTGCCCCCATGCTTGGGGAAAAAGCAGTGTTCACACTTTAAAATGCTTATGATGGGGTAAAATGGAGCCAATTAAATGTATCAAATGGATTTTCATAAAGAAGAACCATAAAAAACTGTCTTTGAAAGTTTGCACCATTTGTTTTTCTCATGGTTCTTTGTTCATCCGTAGGTGTGCTATGTCGACTATGGTTTTAGTGAAAATATTAAAAAGAACAAAGCGTACAAACTGAGTCCCAAGTTCTGTTCACTTCCCTTCCAAGCCACCAAGTGCAGGCTGGCAGGTAAGAGGGACCCTTGTAGAGCTCTCTCCCTCTGGATATGGCATTAACATTGTACTTTTGGATGGTTAAGTACTAACATGGATTAGGTATCTCCAAGTAGTTTAATATTATTTCTTGAAGGTTATGAATAAATGTATGTTGAATGTGATCTTTATAAAATGTGATCGTTACAGAAATGTGGTCCTGTTGATCATCCTAAAGTTTTTCTTTGTTGTAACTGGCAGAGGCCCTGTGTCGTGACACTAGGCTGGCTTAAGTCATGAGGTGGTTCTCAGCTGCTTCTGCTGATGTGGGATCTGTGGCAACGCTCACAGCTCACGAGTCACACTCCAACCCAGCTGCGCTCGTGGGCGGTTTCTGCCAGAGTCGCAGTTTCGCTGCTCTGTTCTCTCCTGCTTCAGGAAGTGTAGCGGAGTGCACGTGTGTGAGAGTGACATTGTAGGCATACCAGATGGAGTGGTCACGCTACCGATAGAGCCAGGAGAGCTTGAGCTCAACTAAGCAAGTGACCATAAGTCCTTTGTGAAAAGTAGCCCTGTGGAGGAATAACTCCTGAGTAAGGATGAGTCCTTTTGTTGGAGGAGCTGGATTTGAGATAAATCTCAAGTAAACTTGTAAGCCTTTAAGGAACTCATGGGAGTTGGTTTTGAAATGAACATACCAAGCACAGGACAGGATTTAGAAGTCTCAATGACAGGTTTGAGAAAAGCCACAAAGTTGTGTGTCTGGAGAGCAGGAAGAGGGTAGCTTACAAAGAGTCTGTGAATTTTAGCTTGTGAATTTAAAGGGCAAAAATAGAGAACTAGTCCTGTTAGGACCACTGGGGAAATGATGGGCTAGTTTTAATCAGTTTAATAATTAACTTAGAGTTACTGTTGTACGATACTTAGAATTGTAATTTTCAAAGAATTTTAATTAGTGTTTGAATCACAGTAAAATTCACTTAACATTTGTATGAAGTTCAACATTTACTCTTTCTTTGATCAGTCAGAATCTTCTTTGATATCCTAGGGTCATCACGTGCTTTTAAAAAAGGAAAGAAAGGGAACAGTGTTTATCTCAATTTCTAGTAAATGTGTTTTCATTTTATAAGAAAAATACAATTGTTGATACTGGAAAATGAAAAAAAAAAAAGTCAAGGGTAGGATTTTAGGAAGAAAAAGACAAATGAGGAGTTGCAGGTAGTGATTGGTGGCTTTTTGTTCTTACCGGTCCCTTGTTTTCATGATGTACGTGCATTTATGGAGCAAAAGCTGTGTTCCCTAGGGAAGAATTTCTGATGATTCATCAGCTTTTCTTCTGGTTTTAGGATTGCTTGCTTTGGTGCAGTCATTCCAAAAAGCATTCATGTTATAATATTTTTTAAAAGACATGAACAAGATTGTCAAAGCTTCCATTTAAAATTGAGGAATTCTGTAGTAGATTCCTTATTGTCTTATAAATAGCCAAAACAGATAAATCAGTTTGCCCATCTTAAAATGATTTCTCTAATTAAGTAGAAATTAAAATACTCAATATTTTTCAGGATTGGAAGTTCTAAGTGATGATCCTGATTTAGTGAAGGTGGTTGAATCTTTAACTTGTGGAAAAATCTTTGCGGTGGAAATACTCGACAAAGCTGACATTCCACTTGTTGTTCTGTACGATACCTCAGGAGAAGACGATGTCAATGTCAATGCCACCTGCTTAAAGGCCATATATGACAAGTCCCTGGGAGTTCACCTTCAGGTACCACGGTGATCATTGTTGGCATCTGTTGCACAAGCTGTATGAAAGGAGCCCGCAGAGGAGAACGTGGCACATCTTAGGCTAGCCATTGACCAGACAGGGTCGTAACTAAACACCTATTCTGCCTTGTTGGATTTTTAAGTTATCATTCTATTTATAATAAATCTGAATTTAAGAGACATGGAGATTACAAAATTAATAGTCATAAAACAGTAAGGTGTTTTTTTATTCTGATAGTAATCGATTAGAAAATACAGTAGGAGAAAAGTCCCGGATGGGTCACAACCCCGGACGTGAAACGTCTACAAATTAGAACGTGCCTGGAGAACTGTAAAACTTAGACCCAAGCACAGATCAGAGGAAACGGAACAGCATCTTGTTCTCAGCTGAAAAGCTCAGCATTTTAGAAATACACATTCATAGTTAGACACGCTGAATTGTCAGGTATGTCTGCGCAAAGGGCACACGCTCATGACCATATACAAGTCTGGCAGTATGTATTTGAATGTGCTATAAAAAAGTCCATGTATATAATAGAGCTAACGAAAAATATACAAATTAGCTCAAAAATTAATCTCCAATTTAAATCTGATTATGAAATTCCAACAGATTTTTTTTAATTTGGCAAAATGATTCTAAAATTATTGGAAATAAAATAAATATACAATGGTGGCTGAAAAACTGTTGGAAAACTAGAGTATAGAAAAGAGACTGGTCTCACTAAAGCTTAAAGTAATGGTAAAGCATCAGTATAGAAGAAGTCTAGGAATAGAGATTAACAGAATAGAATAGATCATTTAGAGTTTTCAAGTGTGGATATGAGACATATATAGCACATGCCAAAGATCCAGCCACTCCTTGGAAGGAAGGTTGGGCCATCTACTTCCATAGTGTTGCTGCCTCAGAAACCCAAGGAGGGGTCACTATGAGTCGGATCCAACTCAACGGCAATGAGTTTGGTTGAAAGGGGGTGAAACAAGTAGGGGAATCAAAGACCATTCAATAAATAGCGTTACAAGGACTGACGAGCCCTGTGGGAAGGAAGAAGGCTGGTTCTGCATTGCTGTTTATACCGCCACCCGTTTGAGTGTGGTTCTGCATTGCTGTTTATACCACCGCTCGTTTGAGTGTGGTTCTGCATTGCCCTTTTGAATTAGACAATCATATGGTCTACTACTCTGGGAATGGCAAATTGAAGAGGAATGGTTTCACATTCATTGTCAAAAAGAACATTTGAAGATCTATCTTGAAGTACAGTGCTGTCAGTGGTAGGGTAAGGTCCATACACCTACAAGGAGACCAGTCAGTACTACTGATACTCAAATTTACACACCAACCACCAAAGCCAAAGATGAAGAAATTGAAGATTTTTACCAACTTCTTCAGGTTGACATTGAAATATGCAATTAAGATGCATTGATAATTATTGATGATTAGGGAACTCTGGTGGTATAGTGCCTAAGGCATTTGACTGCTAATCAGAAGTCTGGTTCAAACCCACCAGCCACCCCTCGGAAGGAAGGTTGGGCAATCTAGGCAGTCTACTTCCGTAGTGATACCACTTCAGAAACCCAAGGAGGGGTCACTATGAGTTGGATCTGACTCAACAGCAGTGAGTGGGTTTTTTTTTAGAATATGAAAGTTGGAAACAAAGAAGGATTGGTAGCTGGAAAATACGGCCTTGGTGATGGTAATGATACCAGAGAGTGTATGATAGAATTTTGCAAGACTAAAGCCACTCCTTGGAAAGAATGTTGGGCAATCTACTTCCATAGTGATACTGCCTCGGCAACCCGAGGAGGGGTCGCTATGAGTCAGGTCCGACTTGATAGCACATAACAACAACAACAATGATATATTCATTGCAAATAACTTTTTTTTCACCAACTATACACACGGATCTTGCCAGATGGAATACACAGGAAAGGTCAGTATCCTCAGTCAAAATAGGGCCGGGAGCTGACTGTGGAACAGACCATCAGTTGCTCATAGGCAAGTCCAAGTTGAAGCTGGAGAAAATTAAAACAAGTCCACAAGAGCCAAAATATGACCTTGATTATATCCCACCTGAATTTAGAGACCATCTGAAGAACAGATTCAACTCAATGAACACCAGTGACCAAGGACCAGATGAGTTGTGGGATGACATCAAGAATGTTATAAATGAAGAAAGCTGAAGGTCATTAAAAAAGACAGAAGAAGAAAACCAAAAGGGATGTCAGAAGAAACATTGAAACTTGCTCTTGAAAGGAGAGTAGCTAAAGTGAATAGAAGAAATTATGAAATAAAAGAGCTAAACAGAAGATTCCAAAGGGTAGGTCAAGAAGACAAAGTATTATAATGAAACGAACAAAGACCTGGAGTTAGAAAACCAAACGGGAAGATCATATGTAACATTTCTCAAGCTGAAAGAACTGAAGAAAAAATTCAAGCCTCAGGTTGCAATACTGTATGATTCTGTGGGCAAATTATTGAACAATGCAGGAGGCATCAAAAGAAGATGGAAGGAATACATAGAGTCACTGTACCAGAAAGATTTGGTTAACATTCCACCAATTTAGGAGTAGCATATGATCAGGAGCTGCTGGTACTGAAGGAAGAAGTCCAAGCTGCACTGAAGGCATTGGCGAAAAACAAAGCTCCAGGAAATAACAGAATACCCATCGAGATGTTTCAACAAATGGATGCAGCAATGGAGCTGTTCACTTTTTCATGCCAAGAAATTTGGAAGGAGCTACCTGGCCAACTGACTGGAAGAGATCCATATTTGTGCCCAATCCACAGAAAGGTGATCCAACAGAATGTGGAAATTATCAAACAATATCATAATATTACACACTAGAAAAATTTTGCTGAATTCAAAAATGGTTCAAAAAACTCAGAAATGGTTGCAGCAGTATATCGACAGAGAACTACCAGAAATTCAAGTCAGATGCAGAAGAGGACGTGGAATGAGGGGCATCATTGCTGGTGGCTAGTGGATCTCGGCTGAAAGCCAAGAATACCAGCAAGATCTTTACTTTGTTTTATTGACTATGCAAAGGCTTTTGATTGTGTGGTTCTTAATAAATTATGGATAATACTGTGAAGAATGGGAATTCCAGAACAGTTAGACTCATGGAGAACCTGTACCTAGAACCAGAGGCAGTCATTTGACAGAACAAGAGGATACTGCATGGTTAAAATCCAGAAGGGTGTGCATCAGAGTTGTATCCTTTTACCATACATACCAACCTAATGCTGAGCAAATAATCAGAGAAGCTGGACTATATGAAGAAGAGTGTGGCATCAGGATTGGAGGAAGACTTATTAATAGTCTTCAATATGCAGATGACACAGCCTTGGTTACTGAAAGTGTAGAAGACTCGAAGTGCTTACTGATGAAGATCAAAGACTACATACACCTTTCAGTATGGATCATACCTCAGCATAAAGAAAACAAAAATCCTCACAACTGGGCCAATAAACAATATCACAATAAATGGAGAAAAGATTGAAGTTGTCAGAGATTTCATTTCGCTTGGATCCACAGTCAACACCCATGAAAGCACCAGGAAAGTAGATGAAGTACCGCACTGAGCAAATCTGCTGCAAAAGACTTCTTTAAAGTATAGGAAGCAAAGATGTCCCTCTGGAGACTGATGTGCACCTGACTCAAGCTGTGTGTGGTAGTTAAGTTGTGTGTCAATTTGGCTGGACCTGGTTTTGAGTGGCTGGGCAGCTGGATGTAGTTATTCCCATGATGAGACTGGTAATCAGCTCCATGGTGGAATCTACTGGAGCAGCTACCTTAGGGATCTGGTCTGCTTCCAGTGTATAAGAAGCAGCTTTGGGGACAGGCTCTAGCTTTTTGGCATGCTTGGAACCTGTATGTAGCTGAGTCTTCACTCAGTAGCCTGCCACGTTTCCTGCTGATCTTGGGACTGTCTCTGGACTTGAACTAGTGGCCTGCCGTGTTGTTTGGTAATCTTGGGACTGTGCCATTTTGTTTGTCGACCTTGGGTTTGTCAGCCTCAGCAGCTAGTAGCTGCCTGATTGAAGAGACACCTCTAGCTCCAGTGGGCTGTGAGCAAGAAACAGAGCTGAAGCCCAAGGTTGAGGGGCTTTCACCCAGCCCCTAGAGCTGTCACTTTGAACTCGGACTTCTAGAGTCCTGAACTATAAAAGAATAAATCCCTGTTTGTTAAGGCCATCCACCTATTTGTGATATTTTCTGTTAGAGTGGCACTAGAGGGCCAAAACAACATGGTATTTTTAGTAATTTCCCATGCACGTGACAGCTAGACAGTGGGTAGGGAAGACCAATGAAGAATTGATGCATTTGAAGCATGATGTTGGCAAAGAATATTGAAAACATGAACTGCCAGAAGAATGATCAAGTCTGTCTTGGAGGAAGTTCAGCCAGAATACTCCTTAGAAGTGAGATTGACCAGACTTTGTCTCACCTACTTTGGTCATGTTGTCAGAAGGGACCAGTTCTGGAGAAGGATATGCTTGGTTAGCAAAAAAGGGGAAGACCCTCAGTGCGATGGATTGATAGAGTGGCTTCAGTGATGGGCTCACGCATCGCAAAGGTGAAGATGGTGCAGGACCAGGATCTTGTTCTTTTGTTCACAGGGTCACTGTGAGTTGGAGCCAACTCGACAGCACCTAACAACATTTATAACCGAGAATAAACTCCAGGTGGATCAAACGTTTAAACATGAAACTATCCAAGGAAGCAGAGGCATCTAGCCTTATTTTCATCGGAGTGGAAAGAGTGTCCTGAGTATGACCCAGACTCAAAAAACCACAAAGGGAATGTGACACCTTTGAGTATAGAGAAGTGCACCTTCTCTGAAGCAAAGCAGAGAACACACAGGCAAGAATTACAGCTTTTGTTCTGGAAAAAGGTTTGTAACACACATAAGAAATGATGGTCTTCCTTAATATATAAAGAGTTCTTTTCAAGTCAATAATGAAACTGTGGATAAGTGAGTAGAGCAGTGGTCTCAAGTGTGGTCCGACATCCATATCATTTGTCTTCTGTCCTTGTCTGATGAGTGTATGGTAGCATTTTTCCAAGGCCATATAACATGTGGCTTTGTAACAGATTGAGTATCTGCAGAAGCAGATAGGAGACTCTGCCTGTCGCTTACTACCCACTGCCATCAAGTCGATTTCTGACTCCTAGTGACTTACAGGACACCTGGTCATTCAGGGTGGGGGACAGTTTCCAGGGCTGTCATCTTTACAGGAGCAGCTCCCTGGTCTTTTCTCCTGTGAGGCCACTAGAGGGTTTCAGCTGCAGACCTTCTGGCTAGGAGCTGAGCATTTAACTATTGTGTCACCAGGGCTCCTGGAAGGATAATACTGGAAGATTATACAAAAATAGGAAAATTAAATCCATGAAGATGTTGATATTAGTTTTTTTTTTTTTTTTTTTGGATGTCAAGAACATAAATGCCCCCAAAGAGGGAAACCTTTAAATAAATTGCAGAGAGCATCCTTCTGCTGAACAGGGTGAAACATTAAATGTTCATCTTAGACAAGTACGGTGACATGAAGAAAAGACTTGCTTTAATAGGAAGAACAACACTGAGTTGGCTATATGTTATGATTTGACCAAAATGTCTAAAATTAAACCTTTACTGTGATTACAGTTTTTTTAAAAAATTACTAAAACTCATATGGCCTGTGGACCTAAAACAGGCTGATTGATTCTGTTAATGTAAAAATACAGTTTACATAAGCATTTTTTTAATAAGTGGGGAGAAAATAGACCAGAGTTAAAGTTCTTCTTAGCCTTTCAGATAATGTGATGTGGCGATCATTCACGTACGCACCATGTCTGTTCTGTGCCTGACTGATGGTATCAGACAGTCCTTGGGGAAAGAGAGGAGTCCAGGTCCGTTTTTTCCATTTCAGTTGTGAATTTCATCCTCTTACCTGTTCTCCAACATTGAGTCCCTGAGTGATGCAGACAGTCAGCACCCTCGGCTCCCTTCAGACCCACCCAGGGGTTCCTCAGAGAAAGGCCTGGGGACCTCCTGAAAAACCAGCCGTTGAAGACCCTGAGGAGCGCCGTCCTATGCTGGGTTGCGCGGAGCACAGTGCCTCAGACCCTGCTTACAGCAGCTGGTTCTCATCCTCCAGTTTGTAGATTTTAAAATGTAAACACTTGTAATGAGATGAGCTTCACTGGGCTTTTCTGAAAGGTGAGAGATTTTGAAGAAGACTGTGTCACAGTCTGCCTGAGGTGAGATACTTAGAGAGGAATGGAAACACTTGGTCATTCACGGTGGGGGGAATGTGGCCTTTCCTCTTTAGATGCCTGACATTAGGCAGATAAGAGCTCTGTTCTCAAGCATTTGCATGTCTTTAACTTACCAGCATGCCCTCTTGTTGATTCCAGGTCGATGCCATGTACACAGGTGTCAAAGTCACCAACATTTGCTCTGATGGGACCCTCTACTGCCAGGTGCCTTGTAAGGGACTGAACAAACTCAAAGACCTTCTGCACAGGATAGAGGACTACTTCCACTGTAAGGTATGGCAGGGCATCTACAGTTGCAAACAAGAGCAGTTCACTCTGTTGCATAAATATGAGACATTTTTGAAAAGTTTGAGATAGACTCTTGAGAATACTGGGTAAGAACACCAGACTTCAGAGCTTAAATTAAAAAACAAACCTCCTTGTTGAGCTCTGAGTCATACCAGCCTTGGGCCTCAATGGCTGCCTTGTGAAATGAGGCTGTTAGTAGTAGTGCATACCTGCAGGACTGTCAGGAGGACTGGCTGCAAGAGGCATAAAGGAAGTGCTTAACAGCTGGTGGACTTGTAGGTAGTTGATGGTCCTGCTAAACCAGCTAGACCTTCTGCCTGAGCCATGGAGAGACCCTGGAACTTAGAATAAAACCTTTCTTGGTTCTGCCCTCATCTTGTTAGGCTTTCCTTCCCAGGGTCATTATGGTCCCTGAGAACCTGCCACTGTGGTCAGTGGGATTCTGCAGTGTAAATTGCATTAGTAATCTCCTTCGTAACTCTAGGGCTCTTTTCTGAATCGGGATCTGTAAGGGTTTTTCTTTGTGTTAAGTCCCTAGAAAGTAGTTCCCTGTACCTCCCCTAGGACATTGCCATCCTAATCCAGAACATGCCTGGATTTCCAGGTGGCACTGCTTCAGTCCCTGCCTCCCACCCCTGCAAGTGAGGCTTTCCTTTAATTTACAAAGTATTTGGGCACCTCGGGACAGTAGTACGTGGCTTGGCTGTTCGGATACTCGTTCCCCTTACTGGTGTGTAGGCTTCTGGAGGGTAGTGGCTGTGCCTTGCCAGTCTTTCTGTCCCTCATAGTACCTGATCTAGTGTGTCACCTAGAGAGGGGATGCCAAAATATTTGGTGAATTGAGTTCACTGTATTCAGACCACAGACTGGAATTGGGTCATTGGATCCATAGCTTTGCCTCTTTCTGCATTACAAATATTATGTATGTGTCTCAAAGTTGTTAACCAAACCAAACCAAACCGACTGCCATGGAGTCAATTCCAACTCATAGCAACCCCTGTAGGTTTCCAAGCCTGTAGATTTTTACAGACGCAAACTGCCTCATCTTTCTCCCGTGGAGTGGCCGGTGGGTTTGAATCGCCAACCTTTTAGTTAGCAGCCCAATGCCTTAACCACAGCACCATCAGAGCTCCATCCCAGAGTCATTACGGAAGTTAATTTATCTTGGAGAATTCGGAGACACGCAGAGAGACTGATTCTGACGACTCATTTGCATGCATGTCCTTGTGACCCACAGTGGTGGAAAGCTCTCTTGACATCTGGTGTTGCTAACCTGAGTTAGTTAAGACATTGCCTGTGGGGAGGGTGGAACCACTCACCCTGAACTGAAAGCCCTTAGGCAAGCTCCCAGCTTCGGGCTTCACCCTGAATGGTCGGCATTTCACCGGCAAATGTCTGTGGAAGGCACTTCCTTGGTTCTGGAATTGAGAATCTTCCTTAGAGTCTCCTGTTGGAAGATGCAGAGACGAGGCCTCGCAGGCAGCAGGCCTCCTGGTTCCATCCCTGATGGCCTGCTGCTGCTTGTCGCCCTGGTGGGGCCAGAGCACCTGACCTTCAGGCCAACGTTTCCTGGACGTTTTAACCGTACTGATTATGAGCTGTGGCCCAGAAGGCAAGTGACTCGCCATTGTCGACACGTGCCTGACTAATAGGGCCAAGTTCCCCTTGGAGGGAAGGCGCTGGCGCAGATGCTCTGTGGCATTCTGGGTGGACAGGCTGCCTGTGCCCCATTGTCCTGCTGTCGTCTGCTTTGGATGGTGGAGCAGTTTGCTCTCTGCTGGGAGTAATGAAGCCTCTGCTTTCTGTCTTGTAGCATATGACCTCCGAGTACTTCATCTCATTACCGTTCTGTGGGAAGATCTGCCTCTTCCATTTCAAGGGAAAGTGGTCACGAGTAGAGGTAAAGTCAAGACTGAACTGCTTCCAACGTCTTATAAAATATTTCAGACAAGCACACAATTTTAAAAAACGGATTAAGTCCCCATGTACTCATCACTTGGGTAAGAAATCAGACATAACCAGTATGGTTCAGGCCCTCACTTACATCTCCTTTCCTCTCCCCCAACCCCTAGTGGAGCTCCCAAGTGCATAAAGTAATGTGGAGTGAAAGAGTAAGTGAATGAATATAAGTAGAACTCAATGAATGTGTTTTTGAAGGTGATGTCAACAGTAACTGTATTGATCCTTCTGAAACACATTTTTCACTCATTACTCTGGTGAGCTTCCTCTCTGTGGGTGTGGGCAGCTCTGCTTCCCATGTAGTCTCTTACCTCCGGTAAAACGGTAACGGGTATGCCAGTTCCCTCTCCCGTCCCCTCATGATGGACGTCCACGTGGTTGCTGGCATGAGGCCCCTCTGTAGTCTCCATCCCAGGGTGGGAAAGGAGTCTGCAGGTATCAGGAATGCATATCTTGAACTTTATCAGGTTATTTCCTGGTTGCCCTCCAAAGCCATCCTTCCATTGAGGATGTTGGCCTTTGAGGGTGTCCCCTTCGTGGGGAGACTGAGCAATGCCCACCCTCCTGCCTGGATCGAAGGCCCTGTCTCCTGCCCAGGGTGGCGTTGGCTTCAGTACTAACACACTTCTCTGCTTCCCACCTCTAACGGTTCTCCTGACTTTCTTGTAAGGTCAATATGAGTGTGAAAGGAGATTTATTTAGCTGTTGCTAGTATTTCTAAACCAAACTCGCTGTCATTGAGTTGATTCCGACTCATAGCGACCCCCTTTGGGTTTCTGAGGTGGCAAATCTTTACGAAAGTCGATTGCCCAGTCTTCCTTCTGCAGAGTGGCTGGTGGGTTTGAGCCGCCAGCGTTCTGGTTAGCAGTCAGATGCCTTAGGCACTACACCACCAGTATGTCTATGTTTCTTAAAAGGCAGATTTTAGATGTTGGGGGGATACCGACTGTTATGTTTTCTGTTTGTTTAAAGTACCTAGTTTGCCTGACTGCTAAAGATGCAAGTCTTGGTTTGATTTTGTTTTTATTCTATTTTTCCTTTGTTGCAAAGATTCTTAACCTAAGTACAAAGACCTCTACTTTCGGGGTGGGTGGTGTCCCTGAACCCCAAGAACTATACAAATTATAGGCATACTTCAGACATGTTTTGGGTTCAGGTCCAGATCACCACAATAAAGCAAGTTACATGGATTTTTTTGGTTTCCCAGTGCATGTGAAAGTTGGATTTACACTACATGGTAGTCTATTACGTGTACAATAATAACATCACGAAAAGTTTGAAATATCATGAGAAGGACTGAAATGTGACAGACAGACCCGAAGTGAGCACATGCTGTTGGAACATTGGTAGCAACGGACTTGTTGCGTGCAGGGCGGCTGCACACTTTCAGTCTGTGAAAGGCGTGCTGTCTGCCAGCGCGGTAAAGGGAGATGCAGTCAAGCAAAGTGCCTGTGTGGTCGTTCTCCAGCACCGCCGTCGCGCTCACACCACGGTCGGCCGCTTCAGCATACACAGTGATCGCCTCACGCTGTAGGAGCCTGGAAGTGCAAGCCCAGGGCACCGGCCTTGGGGGTGTCTCTCCTCAGCTGCTTTTCCTGGCGATCTTCACGGGGCCTGTATCTGTCTTCCCCCATTGCTGGTTGCTTCTCTCACCCAATCTGCTTGTTTTATATCTGAAGGTAATTGGCTTAAACAAAACTGATATGGCCTCATTAACATAAAAAAAAAAAAAGAAAAAGAAAAGCACCCTCTTCCCAAATAGCATTACATCCACAAATATAGGGGTTGCATTTACAGCACATACTTGGGGCGGGGTGGGACGCAGTTCAGTCCACAGCAGTGTGTATGCATGTATTTTAAGGGGTGTGGGTGGGAGTGTCCATGATTTCCCCACGATTCTTACATGAAGCAGCCCCCAGAAGGTGAACCATTGCCTTCTTGGTCTATTAGGGTATTAGGCTTCCTCTTCCTTGCAGGGTGAAGTCCAAGTTCTTTAGCTCATGATGTTGGCTCCTCGCGAGGCTTTGCTGCTTTCTGTCCTGTATCTTGCCCTCCCCTGCCTCTCACAGCTGCCATGCTTGTTGACCCCACACCTCCTCCTTCCCTCTGGGTCTTTGCCCATCCTTTCCCCTCTGTTTGAAGGCTCAGGTGAGCCCTAACTAGATGCCCACAAACCTGGTTTACTCCCAGTCACCATTTAAGGTTAGCTTTGACAGGGTGTAAATTAACTAGGTGACTTAGGAAATAAGTACAAATTTCTAATTAATATGATGATTTATTAAAATAACAAGAAGTTCACACAATTTAACATTAAAATGTTATAGAAGAATACTTAATGACAGAGATGTTTATGATATATTGAGTGGAAACAGTCAATTAGGAAATAGTACAGACCAGTAGGTTCTAATATTTGTGAATGTATCAGAAAAAAGACTAGAAGGATGCACACAAAATTTGACAGTCATTATCTCTGTATTGGATCACAAATGATTTTTCTATTCTCTTTAAGTATCTAAAGTTTCTATAATAGAGATAGTATAAGGCAATCATGAGAAAAAGGTAAAGTTTTTAAAGAAAAGTATGTAATGTTGGCTTTCCGTCCTCCTGTGAGCTTCCCGTGCCACCTGCTCCCAGCCTGGGCAGGTGCCCCTCCTCCACGTGCTCATAACGCCCTGTGCAGAACTTAGTTGTACTCACAAGTTTATGTCGTGTCCCGTGAGGCCAGCAGCCCTTAGAGATGAGGAAGCAGTCCTCTGTGGCCCAGAGATGCCTGGGTATAAGGCACTCAGTACGTGCCATCCAGACCATTGTATATATTCAGTGCACATGTTTGAATAAACAAACACATTTAAAAATCTTGTTTGGTAATATTGATTGTGCTTGTTTTGTCTTCAGACATTAACATTTTCCTGATGTTCTATTCATAATGCTTTCTCTGGGGCAGTAGGAAGGGGCTTTACTTTTGGTAGATGACTTCTGCGTCTGGAGTGACCCGGTCCATCTTGACAGTCCCTGTCTTGAAGGCCCCACCATTGTTCAGGTTGCAGTTACTGCAGTTGGTGGCTTACAACCCCTCCCACATTCTGATGGGGCCGTGTCTAGCCAGTGTAATTACATTCAGTGATGGCAAGTATCACCGTGACTTATGGATCCTTAAGAGCACGTGTACAATCTTGTATTGGGATGTTGTCATTATGGATGGAAATCATTTTAGCACAGGGAGACAATGAATTGCTCTAAGTCTGTGGCTTCCCCATCTCTGAACGATAAATCTGGACTGACTTCATCTCTTTATATTCTGAGTTTCAGTGATCTCAGGACGAATGGTGAAATTATCATTAGATTTTTTTCTAATGAAGCTATGGAATACCAAAATACCTTATAATTTAAAAAATATACTAGCATTTATCTGTGACAAGCGCATTTGTTTCTAAATTATCTCTGTTCTTAATCTCTCATTGCTAAGACATGATAATTTTTTCTCATATTTTAATATTTTAGAGAGCAGACTACATCTTCTAATCAGCATAAATAGTATAGAATTTGGGAACTCAGGTGGCATAGAGCCTAAGGCATTTGACTGCTAACCAGAGGGCTTGCAGTTCAAACCCACCAGCCACTCCTCAGAAGGAAGACTGGGCAATCTACTTCCGTAGTGATACCGCCTTGGAAACCCAAGGAGAGGTCACTATGAGTTGGATCCAACTTGATGGCAGTGAGTTTGGTGTTGGTTTAGTATAGAATTTAATAAATAGTAAATATTACCGTATTTGTCTCGGAAGGAAGATGAGGCAATCTACTTCCGTAAGTGATACTGCCTCGGAAACCCAAGGAGGGGTTGCTATGAGTTGGGGCCGACTTGACGGCACATAACAACAACAACAACTGTATTTGTGAGTTTTATTATTTTTATGAGTTTACTGGTTATCACTGATTAAAGACATTAACAATTAAATATTGAAATCATTCTACTCTTAAAAGAATGTCTTCCTAGTAAATAAATCCATTTTAAAATTAGGGAAATCTTAGCACTGGTCATCTTTGTTGTCTTTTCTGCACAGTTTGGAGTTTGCACAGAATGCAGTTGCACAGAAGCCTTGGGTCTGTGGAGGTGCTGATAAACTGGCCAACGCTTGTCTTGTTTCAGGTCACAAACGTTCACAGTAGCCGTGCTCTAGACGTTCAGTTCCTCGATTCTGGCACCGTGACGTCTGTAAAGGTGTCAGAGCTCCGGGAAATTCCACCACGGTTCCTGCGAGAGATGATTGCCATACCACCTCAGGTACTTTATGGGATGGGGCAAGGGGGTCCGCTGGCGCTGACGTCACAGGCGAGGGGGTCCACTGACACTGACGTCACAGGCAAGGGGGTCCACTGGTGCTGATGTAACAACCAGTGGGTCCGCTGGCGCTGACGTCGCAGGCGAGGGGGTCTGCAGGTGAGGGGGTCCGCTGGCAGAGATTTGGATGCATTTGTAATCATGGTGAGAGATTCCCTCTCAGTTTGATCTCAATGATTGAAATCTTAGTTTTTAAGAAAACTAGAAACTGTCTAAATGTGGTCGTTGACTGATTTTGAGAAGTAAAAGTTGGCTGACTTGGACAGTAAGAGCCGCCAAGCTTAACAGCTCCTGCTTACACAATATTGTTTGGTAAATGTTTGTTTTCAAATAACGAAATGGTATTTAGTTAGAGATTCTGGTTTAATAATTGGATGACAATACTAATCTCTACATGGTTCCAGTGTCTCGCATGTAAATGTTTACTTCCAGAATTCTTGGTTTAATTGGATAACCATTCCCTTTGGAAATCTGTATTTAATCATTTTCTCATATGATCCTGTCCCCACAGATTCTAGGAGAAAAGGTGCACTTTGCCTCAATACTAATTACGGGCTTAGTGAGCTCTCTCTGATGTTAGATTTAGTACGGGAAGTACTGACTTTTTTAAAAAATGAACTTCCCCCAATTCTACAGATTCTAAGAGGCCCCTTGCTTGTCTTTGCCAGAAGGCATCAATTGCAATTCAAAGTTAGCGAGTAGAGAGGGTTAGGGTTAGCAACCAGAGGCCAGGAGGACTGGGCTCCGTTATTTCTCTTCTCCAGTTGCCTCGCTTTTCGAAACAAGGGCTGCCCCAAAGAAGGTGTTTAATGTCCTCAACCCTGTCTCCAAAGTCACTTTGACTTTACTGTTGGTCAGGAGCTCTGGTGGTGTAGTACCTAAGGCATTTGACTGCTAACCAGAAGGCTGGCGGTTCAACCCCACCAACCACTCCTTGGAAGGAAGGTTGGGCAATCTACTTCTGTAGTGATACTGCCTCGGAAACCCAAGGAGGGGTCACTAGAGTCGGGTCTGACTCGACGGCAGTGCGTTTGGCTCTGGCTTCTTTCTGTTGGTCAGCCTCATCCTGAAAATGGGTGGATCCTTCCGTGAGGTTGTCACTGTTGTTAGGTGCTATGCGTCATCTCCAGCTTGTGGCGATCCCATGCACTCCGTCACTGAACGACACTGCTGGCCTTTGCATCCCTTGTTAGAACGTGTGTCCTGGGCCACCTTACTGAGGAAAGGCTCCCTGGCTGGAGAACAGGGGATCTTTCCTGCTGCTTCAGATTGCCTGCTGTTTACAGAGCAGTAGCTTTTTTGTGCTACAGCGTTAAAATCCATTTAAGCACTGTTGTCTTATCTAGATTTGTTTCTTGATAGATGCAAGGACTCCTGGTTGAGGAGGGCATAGTGGCCAGCTAGGCCGGTCCTCTGGCTAACAGTACACCTGTGTAGCAACCTGATGGGCTGTAGGTCCAAATTGTGACCCATGCATGTGCGTTTTTGGTTCTCACAGTGTTTTAAAAATGTGAATTAGTTGGCAGGATTTAAAAGTCAGATTTCACACCGAAATCCCTACTTCTGGCTTCTCGTGAGAAATTTGAGAAGACGTGACCATGTGGAGTGCTCGTCCCCAAGGATAGCAGTCCACAGGAGCCTTGGATGTGGCCCTCTTTCTGCAGGGCCTGCCCTTTCCAGTGCGCTGGCCCCATTACCTGCCCGGCCCTGCAGGCATTAGTGGACTCTCTCCTGCAACCTCTTCCTCACCGAGAAAGATGCCGCATCCAGGGACCACGGTGGAGACTAGCAGCCCTTGAAGGAGGAGGGGTCATGGAGGGAGGAAGGGGCTCAGAGGGGAAGTGGATGTCATCTCCTTGCCAAAGTTGCCCCCATAAACCGGAAAGGCTGGTACGAGACTGCAGGGGTCCCTGAGGTCATCTTTTCCTCCCTGCTGTGACCAATCTGTTGAAACCTTGTGTAGGCAGAGGAGAAAATTGGGCTTTGGGCCTGTGTGGATTTCTGTTTCTCTTACCTTTCTTGGCACCTTAGTGGCACAGTGGTTAAAGCGCTAGGTGGTGGACTGAAAGGTCAGCTGTTGGAACCCACTAGCCGCTCTGGGAGAAAGACGTGGTGGTCTTTGTCCATAAAGATTTGGAAACCCTAGGGGCAGTTCTGCTCTGTCCTGTAGGGTTGCCGTGAGTCAGAATCCACTTGATAGCAGTGAATTTGGGGGGCTTACCTTTCAGAATTCATTGCAGCCTCCTTGAAAAGGTGAGCGTGATGCCCGGACCCACAAGGTGCCCAGGGCACGCTGAGTGAAGCATTGACGGCTCCAGACAAATCTTGACAGCAGGGCTCAGATGTCATCTAAGTGGCATGATTTGGGGTTTGGCTTAGAGGGGAGACCTAGACATGAGTCCCAACCCTGTCACTTTGCAGCTCTGTGATCTTACACCAGTCAGCCCTGTGCGTCTGTCTCTCTGCCCATACAGTGGGGGCCAGCACCATCCAGCAGGTGTTGTAGGGTAAGAAGTGTGTGAAGTACCTGGTACGTGTCCTGGTCCCTAACAGAGTAAAGACAGCAGCAGCGGGCCAGGTGGAGCCAGCACAGAGCAGACCCTCGAGCCAAAGGCCGTGATGCCTGTTGGCAGCCGCTGCTGTCGTTGGGGCATCTGAGTTGTAAGAAGCTAGTGCTGACGTGACTTGTAAGCACTAGTTTTAAGATGGCGTGTTTGCTTTTCCATTCTGTTTCTTTCCAGGCTATCAAGTGCTGTCTGGCAGACCTTCCGCAGTCCGTTGGCGTGTGGACGCCAGACGCCGTGCTCTGGCTGAGAGACTCTGTTTTGAATTGCTCTGACTGTAGCATTAAGGTTAGTTGTCTTCCTGATCCTGATGCGGTCAGTAAAGGAGCTGGTAGCTCGATGGCCCATGTGTGTTTTGGGAAGGAATTTTATCTTATAAACTGATGCTCCCACATCTGACACACATGTATAGTCAAGAGATTGGATAGATATGTAGGTATGTGTCATGATTTCATTGTTTTTTATTTAAGAAGTTACACTGTTTCTCCAGTGTAATTTGCAAAACCCTCATGTATTTTTTTTCCCATTATTAAAGGGGGACAGATGGCTTGTGCTCATGTCTGTTTTCCAACAGAGAGGATCATGTATCTCTTGATAAAGGTTTCTAACAATTCCTTAAATAGGTCTTTTTCTTCTGTAGCAGAAAGGACTGTGGACACATGGTGTGTTTCTAGTCTTGACTGTTGCACTGTTTTTTATTTAAGCGGCTACACTCATTTCACTGGGTCCCGTTTCTTTGGTGTGCTTTTGCATCTTCACGTCAAAGACGGTGCTCGTATTTCCAAGGGAAGCAGCGTCACAGATGTGTTTGTCTGTCAGTAGATGGAACTAGCGTTGTGATTTTACATCAGCTTTTAATAAAGAGAAAACCCTGAGGAGCACGTTCACGAAGATCTTTGCATGATCTGCGTGGACATGGATTCTCCCATCCCCACACTCCGCTGGAGTTTATAGGGCACCCTCAATTATGTACCATTCCATATTATTGTTCCATTGTCTCATGATAATGAAAATTGTTTTTTCAGCTACTTTTTAAGCTCCTGAGCCTAGGGTTTTGGGTTTTCAGTAAAAATACTTTTTAATTGGTTTTCATATTGTACATTAAATCATAAATATAAAAGTGAATTAACAGCCAGTCTCTCATTGCCAAATCGAAAGGTGAATTTCAGTAGATTTGTGTTGCTGGGAAGAAACAGAGACGTTAATGGTGGGGGATGGAGTGCTTTGCACGGTCTCCCCCCTTCATGGCTGTGTTCCTGCCTTGCGGTCCCATCCCTGTTGGATAAAAGATGGATGCGGCTAGAAATGCCTCACCCTTGGCACTCCTAAAATAAATCAGAAGAACTGATGACAATTAGCAGTCACCTGACCCTCTGGGGAAGAGCTCTGTGATTAAAGCATTGGGCTGCTAACCAGAAGGTCGGCGGTTTGAACCCAGCCTCTCCATGGGACAAAGATGAGGCAGTCTGCTACCATAAAGACTGAAAGCCTTGCAAACCCTATGGGGCAGTTCTGCTCTGTCCTCTAGGGTCACTGTGAGTCAGAATCGACTCAGTGGCAGTGGGTTGGGTTATGTTCGGTTTGGCTAACCCTCTGGGACCTAGCGTTTCTAAAGTACGATCCCAGCTGACCATACGTCCCCTGTTCAGTGTGTGGTCTTCTTGTGCTGACACTCTTCCCACTGCAGAGACGGCAGAGGGAGCTAGGTAATCCAGACGTCAGACGTCTCCTGGGTGAAAGGTACAGAACCTCACAGAGCGCTCCTTCTCCCCAGCCCTCTCTTCCCTTGTAACAGTGGAAAGGAGAGGTGGGGGTGAGGAGAAAGACCAGGATTAAACAAGGTGTGGGGACCAGAGGTCCCCAGGGGTCAGGCGGGTGCCATGGCCTTGTCCTTTCCTTCCCACTCTGAGGGCACAGTGCCCTTGAGCAGAACTAGGCACAGGCGTTCGGTCATTGCCGTGCTTGTGTTGGTGGTGCTGGGGGTTCAACACGTGGGAGTCGTTACTCTGCTCCTTCCACCAAGTGTTCACAGTGTCTTCACTACGTCATGTTCAGTCACGGTCTGTGGCACCCCTCCCTTTTCAGCGGTGATGGACTCTGATGAGACAGTGCTTAGAGGTTGTCAGAGCTAAAGGTCAGGAACTGTCCCGTTTCCATGAGGTGCTGTTTCCTAGACCATTTAGACTGACAAACTCACTCCTGCTTAAAGCCATGGCCGATGATTGGCTTCTCTCAAGTAATACAAATGGTGGGCCGATAATTGGGCTTCTCGCAAATAATACGAATGGTGGGCCGATAATCGGGCTTCTCTCAAGTAATACGAATGGTGGGCTTTCTTCCAATGACTGTGTTTTCATATTGAAGGTTACATGTAAGATTCTATATGACTTCAGTTTATAACTTGGTCTACACTTACTTTCTTAAAGTATCTCTGTGTGTGTGTCTGTTTCCCACAGGTCACAAAAGTGGATGAAACCAAAGGCATTGTACATATTTATTTATTTACTCCTAAGAACTTCCCCGACCCTCACCGCAGTGTTAATCGCCAGATAATGAATGCAGACCTGTGGAAGCACCAAAAGGATGTGTTTCTGAGCGCCACGTGCAGTGGAGCGGGCTCTCCCAACAGCAAAGGTGGCAGCACCCCCATGGCGGGCAGCACCCCCATGCCAGGCAGCAACCCTATGCCAGGCAGCACCCCTGTGCCGGGCAGCACCCCTGTGCCGGGCAGCACCGCAGACAGTTTCAGAAAGAGCCTCAGTGGTGCCATGAGAAGATCTGTGGTGGCCTACCCCAGCTCGCTCTCTGCGGAGGAACTGCCACCTCCTGCCCACTTGTCCAAACCAGGGGAACACATGGATGTGTATGTGCCTGTGGCCTGTCACCCAGGCTACTTTGTCATCCAGCCTTGGCAGGAGATCCACAAGCTGGAAGTTCTGATGGAAGAGATGATCCTCTATTACAGTGTGTCTGAAGAGCGCCACGTAGCCCTGGAAAAGGACCAAGTGTATGCTGCAAAAGTGGAAAATAAGTAGGTCCCGGGGCAGAGCGTTTTATTCTGACACCAGGAGGCCGTAGTCCGGCAGGGAGACGTCGCCTTGCATGCGTGGGGATTCTGAATGGGAAACTGACCAACGACTTGAGCACTTTTTAATGCTTCAAATTACGTCGTTGATCTAAAAATCTAGGAACTATAGTCCTGTTAAAACCTACTTTTACCTAAACTGAAGGTCTCATATTTTTTCCCTACTTCTCCATTAGAAAATATTAGAAAGATATTTTTTACTGAAAAAATAATTAGGCTTTTAAAGTTTTTTTTAATGACTTTTTATTTTTAAAATAAGATGCTAATCGTAGAAAAGAGAAAGTAAAGAAAAGTGTAAGAGAGTTAAAGCCAGCCATTCAGACATAACACTTGTTACATGCAATATTTGTCTTTCCCTGTCTATTTATGTAGTTGGGATATCACTGTTACGTATAATTTTTTATCGGGTTTTTTCACCTACCATTATACTGGGAACGTTTTTCTGGTGATACAAGTTATTTTTGTTTTATTTTACTTTGAAATTTTTATTGTTATTTAGGTGAAAGTTCACAGAGCAAATTCATTTTACTTGGTACAGGTTCTTCGTAAATATTTTTAATGGCTGAATAATACTCCATCTTAGGGAGAAATCATAATTTACCATTCTCTTTTGTTATTTGGGGATTTTTCTTCCACATTTCTCACTGTTATCAACAATGTCGAAGATAAATATTTGTTTGCATCTCTAATGATTGATTTAGGGAGTGGACTGCCGGAGGAGAATGTCCTTCTTTAAGGGCTTCACAGCTCACAATGTGCATGGTCACTGGCTTCCCTGAGCTCCTGTGTCCCCCGTCATAAAGTGCAGCCATGCATGTGGCCTGGCTGTGGCCTGGCGACAGAGATTTTTCATTGTTTCACATTTGCATCACCACCACCCTCTGCAGAGCCCCTGGGGTGTGCTACTCCGTCTCAGGGAAGCCGCGAGCTCTGCTCTCCATCCCATACTTGGGCCTTGAAAGCTCGGGACGGCCCCGCTTTCCCTGGTCATCCACTTTGCCAGCTTCTCAGGTGCATGAGCAGGCTCCTTTTTTGCTGTTGTCCTGTTACCCCTTTACCTCCACGCACACGCACACACATATACACACATGTACACACATACCCCACATCTCAGTCTAAGGAGTAAAACTGCTTATTTGTCTATAAAATGTTTTTATTTTTGCTTAAGACAGCAAATCATTATTTTTGTCATTTTCATGGGAGAAAATACCTAACTTTTACTCTGGAAAGTATAGTAGCTTTCATTTTGAAAAACATTCAATTTATACATTTTAAGTGTCTAGATTTTTTTTCTTCTTGTTAGTTCATGTTATTTACTGCCTGGTATAAGTAGGTTTAATTCACTATGGAAACATTATTGGTGTTGAATTTGCCTTAATCAGAGCTCTTCAATCCCAGGTAAAACCAAGCTAAGGTGACCTTTCATTATCTGGGGGCAGATTAACGAGCAGGCTCCGGGGAGTCCCCCTTGGGGAGAGAGGTTGTGCAGGAAGGAGACCTAGAGCATGGAGCTGCAGGCCGCCTGTCCGCCCTCGATGGACCTGCATGGCTGTGCCCAAGTTAGTTTGTACCCAGATAATTGAGGGATGCCTGACATACTGAGAGTGGATGGTTGATTTTTTTTTTTTTAAGTTCATAAACTGAATCCATGTAAATGTGTTCAGGGCTTCTGTCTTGCTTAAGACTCCGGAGTATTCATTAAACTTTCTGTAAGCCTTGTTCCCAAGTATACAGTAAATTAAGACTTAGGAGTCTCAGGTACATTTGATATTAACACTGGTTTCCCACCTCCACCTTAGCGTATGAGGAACCTGGAGAAACCCCTCAGCATCAGTCCCAGTCCTGCCCGGGCGTTCCGGACCTGGATCTCGGGGCAGAGCCTGGACTCTGGGTTCCTGGCACTGTCCGGGGCTTCACAGGCACTCCTGCACTGAAATTACACTTAGTCAAAACTAAAGACTGAGTTAAGCTGTTATTTTTGGAAGTTGAAGACAACATTGAAGTCCAGCACCTAGGTTTTCCGATGGTTCGCCCCTCACTGGCCTGTGCCTCTCGGGTGTGGACTCAGAGGACAGACCACCATCCTTCTGCCCTGTGCCGTTTAATAACGATGCTGTCGACAGAAGCCGAGTGGCTTCCTCTCCTTGTGCACTTACACAGACTGGCAATTCACACCAAATTGGCATTTCCACATACGAAAATGTCTCTGCTTTTTTCTGTAGTTTTTCCATACATAGCCTGTCTTCATTTTAATACTGATAACAATAGCTCCCATTTGCCAGGTGCCTGTTGTATGTCAGGCAATGTGCTAGGCACTTTGCTGCGTTACTTCTCCACAGAGAGGTCCGATAAAGAACCCAGTGACACAGCTGGAATATGGCTCGGGTAGGACAGTCTGGCCCCAAAAGCTCATGCAGTTTCTGGGTGCTTTGTCTCATGGCTTATTGCTTGCTGCACCTGCTTGTCTGAAGGTTTTTGGAGTCCCCCAGAAGCCCTCAATCACATACATGTTTAAAGGCGGCCTCTCTTAGATTTCTCACCAGGTCCTACAGCAGCTATGCCGGTTCCCTGTCCCTGTCCTTGTCCTCCGTCAGGTACGCGCCTGCAGCACCGGTCCGGTCTGGCCAGCCCTGGCCTGAAGCGCTGTTGGGGAAAGGGCCTGCTGCTCCATCCCCTGGGCCTGGGGCTGACGGGCCTGTCCCGTCTGAGGCGGAGCAGGACGCCCGCGCTTCAGGAGCCCACGCGGCCTCCGGGACGTGTTTCTGTCTGACAGTGTGAACAGTCTTCCTTTCCTTAGCATGATGGCATTCCTCAACAGGGTACTCAAGGCTGGGAGACTTTAAATGGCCCTCTGTAACTCGCTTTTCTCATTTTGAGGATGTTGATACAGGCCCTGCTGGGGGTGGGGGATTACATTCATGCGAATTTCTCTAACACCTTGAACTCGGGGCTCTGAAACCATGCCCCCGCCCACCCACACACACTCCCTTTCTCGCCCCACCATATGCCCCTGCCCTTCTCCTGTTAATTTTAGGTCTTGGATTAGATACTTTGTTTAGTTTTCTAATGTCCTTGGCATCATTAACACGCTCACCTTTGTGCTCAAACCCTTTTGCCATCTCTCCCCAGTCCACGGCCCCTGCCTGGCTTTCTCGTCCACTCCCCGTGCAGCCTCCCTTCTGCTTGCACTGCCCTTCTGCGCCCTCCCTGCCTGTCTCATCACAATCTTCAGCACAGCCCGGCCCTGCTTGCCTCCCTCTTTCCACCTTCTAACGTGTGCCGTGTACCAAACATGTAGCCATTTTCTGTCTCCCGGGCCAGACTAGAGGGTCCCCCGGCCTCGTCCTGACCATCATCCATGGCATCCGTCTCCTTTGGTTTAATACGTAGTTCATGTGTCAGAATCCTTCCCTAGCTCCATGAGACCACGGACGTCTGTTGAATGACCAGATTCCATCACACGAACCAGTGGCAAAATAGAACAGTAACCATTTTTGAAGGGGGTGCAGGCTCCATCTCGTTAAAAACTTGTCTGACAGGATAGCTTTATGTTTTAATGACCACTGTCCACGTCAGCCATTCTTTTGATCATGAAATGTTCCTCGACCTTCAAGCAGGTGTTAACTGTGTGTGTTTTGTTTTCCTTTCTAATCTACCATGCCCATTGAGGTGGCACAGGGTGCTTTTGAAAGGGATCCTGACCAACGGACTGGTATCCGTGTATGAGCTGGACTATGGCAAACACGAGTTAGTCAGCATAAGGAAGGTGCGGCCCCTGGTGGACATGTTCCGAAAGCTGCCCTTCCAGGCAGTCACAGCTCAGCTGGCAGGTAAGTTTTGTGCAGCTGGAACTCACGCTGCAAAATCATGTCTCTTGTCATGTTGTCCTGGGTCCTTAGCTAGCGATGAACCACCAACCTATTAAGGGTTCCTTCCCCGCACCCCACCCCATAGATAACATCCTGACCGTAATGGGCATTTTCTTTCCATTCTCTATGGATTCCATTTTAATGGAACTTGTGTGTGCAGGTCAGGGTTTCCAGAGGGGCCGCCCTTCAGGCGGACGGCGTTAAGATTGCTCAGCAATCAACACAAGTAGCTTTGCACCGTCACGGCCCTAGGACAGGCTTGTCTGACCCTTCACTTGCACTTCCTGTCTCTCTCCCAGGTGTGAGGTGCAGCCAGTGGTCAGAGGAGGCATCCATGGTGTTCCGAAATCATGTGGAGAAGAAGCCTCTGGTGGCGCTTGTGCAGACGGTCATCGAGAACGCTAACCCTTGGGACCGGAGAGTGGTGGTCTACTTAGTGGACACATCGCTGCCCGACACGGACATCTGGATTCACGACTTCATGTCTGAGTACCTGGTGGAGCTTTCAAGAGTTGACTAATAACTGCTTCTGAGCCTCTGACGGCTCCTTCAGACTTTCCAGCAATAACACGATAGTAGGCATTACAGACTCTCTCTGCTGCACGGTTCTCACTCTTGTGGGGATTGAAAAGAACATGCTTTTGTTTGATGAAAGATATTTAACAAGTTTTGTTTTAACAGAGTTGACTCTTCAAAGAAAACTGCTCTTGAATTAATACTGTAATATTAGAATAAAGATGTTTATCAATATAAAGACTGGCCACCTTGTCATTTCTAGGCTTTATGGTCTCAACACAGAAAGTTGCTGTTTCTAATCACGGTGTCTTCCCTGTAGTACTGGGTTCTTTGATTTGATTTAGAATTTTAGGACTTAGGAGGCCCCAGTCATCAGTCAGAACCCAGGTGGCAAATGAATTTGCAGTGGGCTGCTAACGAGTGGCTCCACCAGCTTCCCCTTCCCGTATAGATGACAGTCAAGCAAACCCTCTGGGGCACAGTTCTACTCAGTTTGGGGCCAGCCGCTATGAGTCAGATCCACTCTACGCAGTGGGTTTGCATTTTTCAGTTGCTAGTAAGTCAGTCTTCCAGAAATACACCATCCCCACATTTTAGGGGAAATGAGTCCCACAGAGACATAATTTGCCTTCAAGCCATTCTGGACTGAGTGAGGACTGGGCCCCAGCCTTCCAGCCCCTGAGCTGGTCTGTCTCCGGGGAGCTGCTGTCCCTTCCTGTCACACGAGTGATCAGGGTCCCCAGCGTCTGTTCTAAAGGCCCCACAGGGCACTTGCCAAAGAGAAATCAGGTACCTGGCCCTCGTTCTCCATCACAGCCAATGAACAGGATGTTAACGATTGCAGCCCAACACAGGCTGTGAGGTGGGAAGGGTCGTGCTTCCATTGGAGGTCAAACTGGAGCAGTCTTTTAGTTACGCAGTATTACTGTATTCATGTATGTATGTCTCGTGCATGTGTGTATCATGTATTCATGTGTGTATCCATGAATATGTATTCCTGTAAATATGCCTTACTCATGTATTCATGTATGTATTGTGTGTGCATGCATGCCGTGTGTGTATGCAGTATGCATGTGTTCATGAATTCCTGCACTTATTTATGTGTCTAGTTAGTTAAA